CAGGATGTCGTTGTGGTTATGCTTCATGGTTATATTCCTGGTAAACTTCCATGAAATTTGCCCGGGTCCCGCCTGTAGAATAAGCGAGTTTCCCTGTAGAAATGGTAAATGTATACGTTTGAATGGATACTGCGATGGCACCGATGACTGCGGCGATGTTTCTGATGAACCGCCATTTTGCACAGGTATGTATATTTTGCTATTCTCTTTTAATTTAACATAGTGTAGTTACAGCTGCTCTACACTTAATCTATTAAGACAATTGCTTATGTGGAGACAATTAAAATTCGATAATTCTTGCATGTCTTGCTTCTAATGTTCCGATTTCCCTGAGATGCCATTACTTTAGTTAAATGTTATATATTTTATTATTCGCTTAGCCTGTCTAGTTTATATTGTGCTATTTACACTACTTAGGTGCCCACTTATTCTCAACTGAAGACATGAGTATTATATAATCTAATATAATGATCTGACATCAAAAAAAAGGAAATACAAAAATAAATGGTAAAAATAGCAAAAGAAGAAAAAAATAAAGGAAGCAAACAAAAATAAACTAAACTAACTTGATTATGAACGGTAAGGAATGGATATTGAATGAAGAAAAATAACAATTAAAAGAAAATACCAAAGTAAAATTGCTAAAACACTAATAGAAGAACAACAATTGACTATAAATATTGAAAAATAAGCACAGAACATGAAATGTGAGAGGTGCTTACAAGTAGAGAGCTCTAAGAAACTTAGAATTTGCTACAAAGAACAAAATGAAAATAGCTAGTACAAGTTTTGATCATTTTGGATAAGCATTCGTCTCCATCAAACCAAATGCAAAAGGATGTAGTGACTACCGAACCATCAGCTTGATGAGTCATGTTTTAAAGATATTTCTAAGAATTTTGCACTCTGGGATGTACCAAAAAATAGAACAACAACTTGGTGGCACACATTTTGGATTCCGCAATAACCTTGGAACAAAAGAAGCACTATTTAGTATTCAGGTTATAGTACATAGATGCAGAGATGTCGGACATCCAGTTTATATGTGTTTTATTGACTTTGAGAAGGCATTTGATCGAGAAAAACATACTGAAATGATAGCCATTCTTCAGCAGGTAGGTATTGATGATAAAGACCTACGCATTATTAAAAATCTTTACTGGCATCTACGTACAAACATCAGGATTGGCCGGGACACTTCTAAAGAGCTTCAAATACGAAGAGGAGTAAGGCAGGGCTGCATTTTGTCCCTGCTACTATTTAACATCTATTCTGAGTTCGTTTTCAATAAAGCAGTGGATAATACTCAATGTGGTATAAAAATGAATGGCGTCAATATTAATAATTTGAGATATGCGGATGATACAGTGTTAATTGCAAGTAATTACGAAGAACTTCAACATCTAATTAATAGGATTACCACAACGTGTGATGAATATGGCCTTAAGTTAAACAGAATGGAAAATGGGGGGAACACGTTCGGGAGGTGGTCCGAAAGGCTGCGAATAGTGCGGCTGCGTTGGGGAGAGTGATGCCGAACATTGGAGGACCCAAATCCGAAAGGAGGAGGGCCTTACATGGTGTTGTACAGTCTATCGTTCTCTACGCAGCACCAGTCTGGAGCGAGGCGGTAGAGATAACGGCCTATAGGAGTCTTATAAAACGAGTAGACAGAACAAGTCTGTTGCGAGTGGCATGCGCCTACAGGACTGTGTCTGCGGCAGCCTTATGGACCATCACTGGATGTGTTCCGTTGCATATTTTGGCGGTGGAAAGAAAAGAGCTTTATGAGAGAAGAGGCTGAGAGAAGACAGGTAAGGGAAAGGTCAGTTGAAAGATGGCAAGAAGAATGGAACAATACGGAGGATGTGGCACAGTGGATGAAAATGCTGATCCCTAACATATTAGTTTGGGTGGACTGTGACCACAGGCGATTGGATTATTTCGTGACGCAGGTGCTCACAGGAGACGGGTGTTTTAGGGCCTACCTTTATAGGATCGGTAAGGCTGATACAGATGAAGGCCTATATTGTGGATACTCGGACACTGTGACACATACGATGATAGATTGCAACAGATGGATAGTGGAAAGGAACAGAATGGAGAGAGAGACAGGTGTGAATTTTGTTACAGTGAGAGAAATGATTGAGAGAATGATTGAAAATAAATTAGGTTAGATTAACATACACAGTTATATCCGTGCAGTGATCAAAAAAAAAGGAAGAGAAAGAAAGACAGCTGGACCAACGGCAAAGGTAAAGTGAATGATGCTGAAAGGTGAAGTTAGAACAGTGGGTCACACTTTTTGAGTTAGAATGCGTGAGTTTGACTGCAGGGAAGGAGAAAATGCCCTTCTGAGAATGATGCCGAACTAGGAGTGTGGATGTGTATGAATGGAGAATGAATAAAGGTAGTGCTTCGGAAGTGATGTCGGCCTTACAGCGGCCATTCCGCTTCCGGATCGCTGGATGACAGAGGAGGGTCTGGTTTAGCAGGTAGGCGTTCGGTGTAGACTCGGCGACGAGAGGGCATTTTAAAGTACCTCTGGAACTATCGCCGGGAGTAAGAAGAACGAATCCTGCACTAAGGTCAGTTAGGCGGCGTCCTGGACTGAGATGTATTTTGAAGATTCCAGACCCCCCTCTATAAAGACGAAAAAAAAAATAATAAAAAAAAAAACCGCAAAGACAAAGGTGATGGTCGTTAGTAAAACGCCAATACAACCGGAAGTGGTAACAGCTTAAAATATTTAACCAAAACACAGTTTACCGAAAGCACAGTTCATCGAAATAAAAACTACCACTATGACCATAGCAACGAGTATAGAAGATCTACAACATCTTATCGAAAGCTGAGTATGAATAGTGCTGAGATGGGAATTACTACAAACGCTAAAAAAACTAAGTACATGCTAATTACAAAAACACCAAAAAATATACATCACCTATTCACAATCAATGGTAACGTGATAGAACAAGTAGAAAAATATCAGTACTTGGCAACTTTGATCAATGAAATCAATGATCATGCTGCAAAAATTAACAGGCGAAGAGATATTGCCAGATCGGCATTTATTTGAATGAAGCCACTCCTAACGTGCAAAAATCTAAATGTGGAGATCAGACTACGTACCATTCGCTGTTATATATTGTTATGGATCATTTTATCGATCAGAAATAGAATACAGAGTTTTTTATTATTTTAATATACCGCGGGCATATAAGTTAAAATACAACCCTGTACTTATTTGTAATAGTTAGAATAAGAGAAAACATTGTTCCGTGACGGGACCCTAACGAGTTTTTCCGTGAAAGACTGAGTGAATAGTGAAAGGGCAATGGAACCCGTATAATTATAGATTTAGAAATAAACTTGTAATTGTATTTTGCGGTGGGCATTTTTCGAAAGTAAATAAGAATTAGATTTAGATAAGAGATAACAAGAATTTGGAAACTTATTTCTGTTGAAAAAGGCAAAATTGTTAATGGTTTCTGAAAAGTAATTTGAGTGATAGTAGTTTATTTGTTTTAAATATCATGTTGGAAATTTTCTAAATCGAAAATAAGTGGGAAAGATGAATGCTTATTATTGCTTAAAAAAGAATGATGAGAATGAGAGAGTTGAGAAGGTTGTCTGGGAGAGATTGAAAGATTATTATGTTACCGGCAGACCAGAAGAGATAACGTGTTTTCGTGTAGTCAGTCGGAGTACCAGTGTTTTCGTTTGTTAGTGAAAAAGGTGGAAGCTGAGAGCAGATCAAAATCGAGAAGATTAATACCTCTTTTGAGTCTGCATAGTCCACGAGATATAATTGAGAAAGAAAGGAGAATTTGTGAATAAAGAGTACCGGTCAAAAGAGGCTTGGGCTTGTGTTTTCGGAGGAGTAGTTTGCTGGTATGCGGTTTGGATCGATGCTGAGAACGGGAAAGATTTGATGGTAGCCGGACATAATCAATCAAGGAAGGAAGTGTGGTTTGATGGAGAGGAAACATCATTGGTGTGAAAATAAAGGTCAGTCAAATAATTTGAATGAAAGAAAATTTTAAGATATTCTAAAGATAAAATCAAATATAAGCATACGAACTAAGATTCCAAATTTTAAAGAGTTATTTTTTTTTGTGAATAAATCATATTTTTATATGGTCATTTTTTTTAGTAGATATTATTATAAAACAGATCAATAGATAGTTTGTAATTAAAATTAAATTTAGAGTATAGGAGTTTGTTGGGAAAGATAATTGCCCACAAAAGTTATTTATTCATATTCATCGTATTGCTTATTGAAAATAAATAATAATTTGTGTGCATATTTATGTTGTTTTAATGTTAGTTCCGTTTCCTGTTCTATCCCGATTATGAGCAACTAGGAAATACTGAACCCACTAGATAGAAGAGATATATAAAGTAAACTGATTAAAGTAATAATTAACAAAAAAAGGCACCCTGAGAATTTTTAATAGTAATTGAATTGTATGACTCTGCATAAATTAGTGAATTAATTAATTAAATAATTGGATTAATTAAATTAGTGTTAATTAATAATAGAACATCATAAAGCAGATCACAACAATATTTTCAATATTATTATAGGCAGCTGAGACTTGGACATTAAAAAAATGCAATTTAAAAAGAATCAAGGCTTTCAAATTCTGGTTATACCGCAGAGAATTAAAAATATCATGGACTGATACAATTACAAATAAAGAAGTACTGGAGAGGGTTGGTACAGAAACAGAACTAATCATTACTATACAAACGAGAAAACTGGAATACCGAGGCCACGTGATGAGGGCACCAAAATATGAAATTTTGAGTCTCGTTATACAGGGAAAGATTCAAGGAAGAAGATCTGTTCTTCCTTGAATGGTTAACGAATCTACGTGATTGGTATCAATACAGAACGATTGATTTGTTTAGAGCAGCAAGTTCTAAAATAAAAATAGCCATTATGATTGCCAACCTCCGTAGGGAGACGGCACTCTAAGAAGAGTCAGTTAAAACTAATAACGATATCCTGTAGGCAGAAGAAACATAACATGACTGGTATGAAAAGTTCTTATCTCACACACGTAGACAAAATAAATAAAAGTATAACAATCAGAATTTATTTCATAACTTTTGTTTGCACTAACAAGTTTATTTTTCAAAGTTTTAATACAGTCACAATCTAACTTATTAATTTTTAACAAATTGGTCAACTTCACCCTTCTAACAATTTCATAGTCAACACACGTCAGATTATTGTTATGAGCCAAATCCAGCGTTATTAAATCATTCTTTAAATTTTTAAGAAGATCTTTTGGTACACTGCCTAAGAAATTACTGGATAAAAATAATACCTCAAGGGATTCCATTTGGAAGAAGGTGTTTGGCTGTATGTCTCGTATCTCGTTTCTGTCTAGCCAAATTTGGCTACAGTGCTTTAAATCCGTGAATATGTCAGGTGATAGAGCTGTTATAAGATTTCTGCTAAGGTAGATGATAATTTTTCCATTCTGAAGATTTTTGAAGGCATGACTGGGTAAAGATCGTATAGAATTTCTTCTAATGAACAACTCTGTCAACTGTGGTGTATTTTTAAACCAGTTATTGTCCCAAAAACTAATTAAATTAGAGTTTAGCTTGATTCTATTCAAATTCGGTAGGTTATCAAAAGCTTCTGTCTCTATAAACGAGATTCTATTTCTTTGTAGATACAAGTTAGTGATGGTAAGACGATTAAAGACAGCACTTTTAATCCCCTCGATTTCATTATCGTTCAAAGCAATTGTCTTTAAACTAGGCAACTCACTGAAACTTCCTATTTGGACGTCAACAATCTCACAGTAATCTAATTTTAAAGTTTCCAAATTGGGCAGTCTCCGTACAGCACCGGAAAACAGAACAGGTATTTTGGCTTTCAACTTCAAGTAAGTTTTATTTGGAAAGTACACGTTATCGATGGACTCGACATCACTTATGGTCACTTTGCTACCCCGTTTGTGCGCTTTGTAAAATCCTCGTTTGAACAGGACTTCGCCGGACACTTCAACTAAGATAAATGCTGTTAAGGCGATTACATGAAATATTTGGATGTTTCTCATTTTGAATAAGAACAAATAAATAGGTTGCAGAGTTGGAGATTGTTTGGTGTAGCACGGGTCACTTTTAAGGTTATGTAAACAGTCATAATTATCAATAATTTATCGGGGTCGCACTTATATTTTTGTTTGTTGTTGTTTAAACTAGATTCTTGTATTGACAGTTCTAAATATAACGTAGATTTTTATTTGGGCTTTTTATTATAAGTACATTGGGTATATTTTGCCATTTGTTTTATTTTCATGTTTCAATTTTGTATCTTCAATTGTTGGTTGTATCTGATTCGTATAGAAAAAGAATGCATAGACAATTTAAAAGATATAAAGATTATTAACATAACATAACAATAACATAACAATATCTTTATTTTTAGAAAACAATATACATTCAGTGAACATAAAATTATTTAAAAAAAAACAGTGTCACAAACGAAAATATTATTTACTTATTCCTAACCGTTACATATGCAAATAGTCCTCCACAGAATATGGCTCAAGAGCTACCAGTAATTTAAATATTTGATGTTTATACACACTTAATCTTTCCTCCCTTTTAATAGGTTCAGGCAGTTTATTAAACAATTTGATGCAGCAATAAAGAGCGTTTTTTTCTGTTATACTTAACCTGTGTATTGGAATTTTATAATTATATAACCTGGTATTTACTATACTATTGGGCTCAAAGTTCCTAAATAGTATTTTATTTTTATATAGAAACAGTAAGCATTCTTGAATAAATACAGCATAAACTGTTAAAATATTATTACTCCTAAAATGCCCTCTACATGATTCCCTACTTTTTAAGTCAAACATAACTCTGATTATTTTTTTCTGAACCAGAAATACATTATTTATGTCCCTACTGTGTCCAAAATTTATTAGACCATATCTAAATTTTGCTTCAAAATTAGCATGATACACTGTTTTTAATGAGTTACTATTCATGTATTTTTTTAGAACTCTAAAGCTGTAAATCACTTTACTCAAAGACATACATAACTGGTCAACATGTTTATCCCAACATAAAAAACTATCAATATATAATCCTAAAAATTTGGTACTGCTGCTAATATTTAAAGTGTCATTATTTACAATAATACTGTTCGGCATATCTGAATGTGCATAATTTGTCTTAAACAAAAGAAGATCTGTTTTATTTTGATTTAAAACCAACCTATTCATAGAAAACCAGTCTTTAGCTTTTTGGAACTCTAAACTAGCATTAACGCTTAGAACAGACATGTCTTTACCACTGACTAAAATGTTAGTATCATCTGCATAATTTGTTATGCTGGAAGTAGTATTAGCCACTAGACCATGAAGATCATTGATATAGATCACAAACAGTAAAGGACCAATCACACTTCCTTGTGGTACTCCAATATTGATATTGCTTTCAGATGAGATGCCGATTTCAGTGTTTTTATGTATTTTTACTAAATGTCTCCTATTTGCCAAGTAGGACTTAAACCAGTTCAATGCTGGTCCACGTATACCATATTTCTCCAATTTATCAAATAATATGTCATGCACTAAACAGTCATATGCCTTTGATAGGTCCAAAAAGAGACCCAAAGCCATATGACCAATCTCAGTACATTTCAAAATATCCCAGACAAATTGAAAAATCGCAGTCTGAGTTGATTTTCCCTGTTGATAACCATGCTGATTTGCACTAATAATATGACATTTTGTTAAAAATTCTGTTATCCGCCTATACATAGTCATTTCTAAGATTTTTGAAAAGGAACATAGAAGGCTAATTGGTCTATAGTTATTAATTAATTTAGGATCACCCTTTTTGTAAACAGGTGTTACTATGGCAGTTTTCAGGCATTCAGGAAATACACCAGATTTTAGTGAATTATTAATGATTGTAGTGAGAGGATTCACTATCTCCTTTATACAAAGTTTAAGGATTTTAGTGGGTATTTCATCAATTCCACAACTCATTTTGTTTTTTAAATTTTTAGTTATATCCATAATTTCAGTTTCTGTCACAGGTGCGACAAACACTGAATTTATGTTACTTGCTATGTTGTCTTTATATTCAGTGTATTGTAATTGAGATAAAGTGTTATTTAAAGAAGTATTTAAGTGTATCATGTATTTATCAGCAATCTCTTGAGGACTACCCTCTACTTTTATTGAATTTACACTTTTTAATCGACCATTAATTTCACTAACAATTTGCCACATGCATTTATTTTTATTGGCAGCTTCAGATATCCTGTTTTCATATAGCTTTGATCGTTTTGTTATTAGTTTCTTATTATATTCTTTTTTTACCTGTCTATAGGAATCATAGAATTTATGGTTAACTCTGCTCATTGTAAACAAGATGTCTAAACGAGTCTTACATTCTATTATCTCTGGATCATCTCTTTTATTAAGGCCTTTTTTACGTTGCCTAGAATCTAACTTTTTAAAAGGAAAGCACTGATTGAATATATACAGAAACTGATTTAAGAAAGTATTCCATTGATCATTTACACATTTGTAACTTAAATTAATCCAGTCATGATTATGTAATTTACTTATAAAGGTTTCAATATTATGTGTACTAAAATGTCTTTTCATTTCAAGAGTATTCATTTCTGCTTCCTCTACCTGAAAAGTTAATTTTTGGGCAGAATGATCAGAGATTCCAGCGTGCAAGACTTCTACTGACACATATGATTGCATATTTGTTAGTATGTTATCTATACAAGTTTTAGATGTGGCAGTTACTCTAGTGTAGTCTTCAATTACATGACAAATATTATATGAGTTAATTAACATACAAAATTTTACTTTATCTAATGTGTTATTCTTAAGATCGATATTGAAATCTCCCCCTATAATTATAATTGTGTTTTCTATCATAATTCTTCCCAGTATAATATCAAATTTGTTTAAAAAAACTGCCAGATCGCTACCTGATGGTCTGTAAACTGATGCTATAATGAGTTTGTTATTACCTATATTAGCTTCGCATACAGCACACTCTATTACCCTATCTACTGATAACTCTTGTATATCCTTTCTTTCCTGGCCAATGATGTCTTTACTAAGATATATAGCTGTTCCTCCATGTTCATTTATATTATTTCTACAATGACTAGCTGTCAGCACAAAATTGTTAATTCCATATTCACTTAATTCTTCTTTAGTTTTCCAATGTTCTGTTGTGCACAATATTTTACAGTCACTGTTGTTTGTTAGAAGTTCTTCTATTTCATCAATACAATTTCCTATGGATTGGAGGTTCTGGTGGATGATACTTATATTCTTTGCTCGTGTGACTGTGTTTTGTATTTCAATTTCCTTGTGTTGATGTGTCTTGTGCTCTCTATTTTCTCCTATGAAAAATTTCCACCTCTGTTATCTAGAAAATCCTTATGACGATGCATCTGGAACCTTTTTATGCCAACACCATTAGGCCAAAACTCTGGTTTATACATGTCATCCTTATATTCAAAGGGAGCCGATACAACAAATCTCTTCAACATATTTTCTTGACTTGGCAATTCCTTTACCATAATAGGCTCTTGTTGCATTTTCCTCTTTTCTATTAGAAATTTACATATCTCCTCTTGTTTTGTTGTTCTCTTCACTCTATACAAGTATAGCCACACTTTTTTCTTTTCCCCTGCAAAACCACTTGTGCTATCGTCATCGCTTACTGCCGTTCCTATATTTTTTTTAGTTATGTACCGATGTCTCCTGTGTATAACTTTTTGGAACCCATCTGAGTCACTATCGCTGTTTTCCTCAGTTATTTTATGTTTTTTTATTTGCTCATTAACCTCAGTTGTTTGTTTATTTTTGAGGTTGACATTAATGTTGTCACTTGTCTTCTGTTCAGAGGAACTACTTAAACTTTTTGACGTTTGAGCTACTACTTCTGTGAATGATCTATTTTGTGTACGAGGTGGTACTGACCTTGAGAATTTTTTATCAACAGAGTGATCCATTATCTGATCTTGTTTATTTACACTTTCGTATTCAGTTTTTTTTGCGGTTTTTTGTTCTAGATAACTTACTTTTTGGCGCAATAAATTATTGTTTTCTTTTAATACAACATTTTTGTCTTCCATTTCCATAATTAGTCTTTTTAAGAGGTCATTTTCTAATCTCAGTTTGGATAATTCTTCTGTAGTTGACATCTCGTTTGTTTCGGTATCACCGCCTTTTTTGTCACAGCATATTATGATATTTCTCTCACATGTTTCAAATCCACATCTTTTTGCACAGCTAGAGTGAAAACACTATAACAATATTTACACACAACTATTTTACACTCTTTTTTAGTGCAGCATTTAAAATTTATTTCCAAGTTTTCACCATCAATTGGCCGTACGTCTTCGACAGCGGCCATCTTGAATGAATATGGATTATTTTTCACGTAAAATAGATGGATGATCTGGAAACTATGAAAATAGACCTTGGCAAAGGTGTGATACAGGGCGACACCATCTCACCCAAGTTATTCACTTTGGGATTAGAAGATGTCTTCAAAAAACTAAATTGGGCCGACAAGGGATTAAAAATCGTTGGAGTATATCTTAACCATTTGCGTTTCGCAGACGACATAGTACTAATAAGCACAGATACCCATTAACTAAAATCAATGCTACAAGATTTAAATCAAATCGAATCAGATAGGGTTAAAAATAAATTGCAATTAAAAACAAAAAGGAAAATCAAACCCTAGAAATTAAAAGGACACAATTGTCATGGGCTGCTTCTGGTAAGTTGAGCTTTATTTTAAAAGACAGAAAAATCCCAATACACTTAAAACGAAAAACCTATGACACTTGTATGCTACCAGTTGCAACTTATGAATTGGAAACTATGGCAATAACAAGAAAAATAGCAGAACGATTAAGAGTATCTCAACGGGCCATGGAGAGAGCCATGTTAAATATGAGCCTAGAGACAAAATTCCTAACACCGAAATACGTCGAAGAACTAAAGAAACCGACATCATGGGAATAATAGCGACATTGAGATGGCAATGG